ACCTTCCTGTAATTGACTACAGTAATGGATGACAGACAGAAAGATAGGCAGACGGACACACACACACACACACACACATACACTAAGTTAGAAGGTGGTGGAAGCCAAAATCGTCAGTAGTTTCAAAGCGTTATACGACAAAGAGTACTGGGAAGACGGGACACCACGAGCGTAGCTCTCATCCTGTAACTATACTTAGGTAATTACACACACACACACACACACACACACACACACACACACACACACACACACACACACACACACACACACACACACACACACACAGGTTGGGGAATAGGTTGTGGAAGCAAATACTATTCATACTTTTAAAACTAGGTATGGTAGGGAAATGGGACAGGAGTCATTGCTGTAAACAACCGATAGCTGGAAAGGCGGGATCCAAGAGTCAATGTTCGATCCTGCAAGCACAAATAGGTGAGTACAAATAGGTGAGTACACACAAGGGACCTCGCGGCTGAGTGGACAGCGCTCTGGGATCGTAGGCCTAACGGCCCAGGTTCAATCCCCTACAGAGAAGAAAACAAATGGGCAGAGTTTCTTTCACTCTGGTGCTCCTGTTCACTTGGCAGTAAATAGGCACCAGGGATTTAGACATCTGCCACGGGCTGCTTCCTGGGGGACATGTGTGTGTATTAGAGAGAAATATATGTAGTATAAATAATAGAGGAAAAAATTTGATTAGAAAGGCGGGGTCCAAGAGCTAATAGCTCGATTCTGCAGATACAAACAGTAAATACACACACACACGCTCCAAGAGAAAAAAATAAATTACTTTCAAATTCCTGATGCAAATTTACATAAATAATTTTCCATTATTTTGCAGTTTTAATATATAAAAACTGTGACTTTGGCGATAGGAAACCTTTCACCACAGTAACTGTTGTTATAGATTCAGCTACTCGGAACAAGTTCCAAGTAGCACGGGCTATGGTGAGCCCGTAACTTACCTGGCACAGGAGCGGGGCAAGTAGCACGGGCTATGGTGAGCCCGTAACTTACCTGGCACAGGAGCGGAGCAAGAAGCACGGGCTATGGTGAGCCCTTGGTGGACTTACCTGGCACAGGAGCGGTGCTGACTACAGTAACGTTTATTGTCACTTTTATATATAAGTATCCCCTGAGACGTAGCAGCAGCTTGTTACAGAGCACGGAGGTAACGTGTTACAGAGCACGGAGGGGCGGGGGTAACGCTTGTGGTAGTGAAGGTGACGAAACATAACATAATTAATATATGATAACATAGGATAATATACTATAATAACAGGATAATATAACATAAAATATCGTAACAATAGTACATAACATTAAATACCATTACATAAGATAACCTGTAAGATAACGAGAGCTATTTAACACTCACTAATCGGTGGGAATATCAAGAGGATTAATACGAGAAAATAACATATTATAAAGAAACACACACAGTAAGCCTAACGGGTCCTCTTAACGACCCAACCACTTTCACTCGTTTGGGCGTCCTGGTCTTCACATTGTGCAAGGTATTTACTCTAACGTTGTTTTGCGCTATTTGGAAAGCGGACCTTATCGAAGAGCGCATTGATCGCCCTCTCTCGGGGAACTAATTCTTAAGTCTAAGTCGCCGCCTAAGTGCTCTTAGGCAGCGCGTTGCACCTCAGATCTTAATGCATGTGCGTCGTCTTCCTCGTATCTTAAGAGGTCTTAAATGACCTCTTACGATAACATAAGCCTACGTTGCGCAGTAGTTCAGTATTCTCCATTCTCTGGTGCTCCTAAGGTTATTTTACGATACCCGGCTGCAAATCTGTGCCTAGAAAATATCGTACAAACAGTTTTTCATCACTTTAAATACAATTAGAATTCTAAACAGATCCACTATTGTGTTCGTGAGAGAGCTTGACATACGCTTCCTAACGGTGCCTGATCTGCCATGTTGTGGTGTTTGCACCTTGCACTGATTTGCCACAACGTACACAATATATCCTCCTAACCTAAGCAGGGAACATATACGCACTTGAAGCCAACTTCCCAAGGCATAGAAAACGTGGGTATGTGTGAAAGCACTTCTGACAATAGGCTGCGTTTGGTTCGTTATGTTCATGTATGAACCACAGTTGTAAGCGCGGGTGTTCTTGACCATCACGTGTCTTGATGAACAACTGGAAGCCGGATAGAGATGTTCAAGATAGCGGTTCTCAACTCGAGGGGGAACGACAGGTATAACAAAGTGTTTTTTCTCCTCCCTGAGGAAGCCATCGGCTGTTGGCTATCAAAATCCTCAGATTAGGCAAAATTGTAATTAATTTTGTCAATAAAGATGTTAATAATAATAATGGCTCACGTCTGAACAAAGGATGTGTAACTTAACCTTAGTGGATGTTATTTTTGTTCCTCGCTCTCTCTCTCTCCGTCTCCCGTGCTCCTCTGCCTCAGGAAGGACCCATCAGCTAGTTACCAAGAACAAAAGATACTTTGGGAGGAGAGGTCAACTCCACACATTTACGGGTCAAGGAAGAAAGTGGAGGGTGGGGGGGGGGAGGTCAAGGGGTTAGGAGAGGAGATTTTCCTCGGTGACGTCAAGAGAGGCCCTAGACCAATAGGCTAACAGGATCCGCAACAGCCCCCCCTCTCTTCTTGAACAAATCCACAAAGGCCGTGACGAGGATTCGAACCGACGTCCAAGAACTCTTCTTCTCTCTCGTTGGCGTCAGTGATCTACTGGTTGTTTTTCGTTGTTGTTGTAGATTCAGCTACTCGGAACAAGTTCCAAGTAGCACGGGCTATGGTGAGCCCGTAACTTACCTGGCACAGGAGCGGGGCGAGTAGCACGGGCTATGGTGAGCCCGTAACTTACCTGGCACAGGAGCGGGGCGAGTAGCACGGGCTATGGTGAGCCCGTAACTTACCTGGCACAGGAGCGGGGCGAGTAGCACGGGCTATGGTGAGCCCGTAACTTACCTGGCACAGGAGCGGGGCGAGTAGTACGGGCTATGGTGAGCCCGTAACTTACCTGGCACAGGAGCGGGGCAAGTAGCACGGGCTATGGTGAGCCCGTAACTTACCTGGCACAGGAGCGGGGCAAGTAGCACGGGCTATGGTGGGCCCGTAACTTACCTGGCACAGGAGCGGGGCAAGTAGTACGGGCTATGGTGAGCCCGTAACTTACCTGGCACAGGAGCGGGGCAAGTAGTACGGGCTATGGTGAGCCCGTAACTTACCTGACACAGGAGCGGGGCAAGTAGCACGGGCTATGGTGAGCCCGTAACTTACCTGGTACAGGAGCGAGGCAAGTAGCATGGGCTATGGTGAGCCCGTAACTTACCTGGCACAGGAGCGGGGCAAGTAGCACGGGCTATGGTGAGCCCGTAACTTACCTGGCACTGGAGCGGTGCAAGTAGCACGGGCTATGGTGAGCCCGTAACTTACCTGGCACAGGAGCGAGGCAAGTAGCACGGGCTATGGTGAGCCCGTAACTTACCTGGAACAGGAGCGGGGCGAGTAGTACGGGCTATGGTGAGCCCGTAACTTACCTGGCACAGGAGCGGGGCAAGTAGCACGGGCTATGGTGAGCCCGTAACTTGCCTGGCACAGGAGCGGGGCAAGTAGCACGGGCTATGGTGAGCCCGTAGTGGACTTACCTGGCACAGGAGCGGGGCGTGTAGCACGGGCTATGGTGATCCCATAGTGGACTTACCTGGCACAGGAGCGGGGCGTGTAGCACGGGCTATGGTGAACCCATAGTGGACTTACCTGGCACAGGAGCGGGGCTGTGTGTCTCCTGGGTTGTTTTCCGATCTCGCGCGATGATAGCTGGGCTTGATGGGGGGGGGGGAGGGGGAAGGGGGGGGGAGGGGGAAGGAGGGGGGAGGGGATTAAGGGGGGGGACAACAATGAGTATTAAGCCTGTCACCCCTCGACCACAGGAGCACCGCTCCCGTGCCAGGTAAGTCCACTATGGGCTCACCATAGCCCGTGCTACTTGGAACTTATTCCAAGTAGCTGAATCTATAACAACAACAAACAACTCGACCACAATGCAGCTAAGCGGAAAGGTGTGTATTGTGGCAAATGTTTGGGGGAAGAACACTGAATGATGTGTTTACTGTTGCACAGATGTCTTCGGGCGTCTCGTGTACACCAACGTGTCCTCTTGGCTATGCTCATCCAAGCTGCCACCAAGCTGGAAATTTATCATATTTAAATTAATATTTGTATATATTAGCATATTGATCATATTTAGGCATAGGTCAGGTGCTTAGATTCTACTGGCAATTATTTGTATTTGTAGTATGTGGGTGAAGCATTTGTTGAGTTGTGATTCGAACAGAGGAAGTCAGCGAAGCTCTGTTCGAACGTCATGAGTTGTGAGTTGTATGTAAACCGTTTTCTATTCATAAGCAGGGGTTTTTGGCGAGTGGGTGGAATCACTTTGGTCGTTGTTCAACTCGTCAGACCACGTAAATTCCATCCAGCGGTCGACCCCAGAGACGCATTCATCAAATTTATCATGCTGTTTATTCAGAACAGGAATTTTCTCAAACATAAATTAATATTATAATATATTAGCATATTGTGCATATATAGGCATAGGTTACGTTAGGTGTTTAGGTTCTGTTGGCGATTTTTTGTATTTGTAGTACGTGGGTGAAGCATTTACAGCGTTGTGGTTCGAACAAAAGTCGTCAGTGAAGCAGTTGTTCGAGAAGTGTTCGAACGTCTCAGTTGTGAGTCGTGTGTAAACTGTTTTACCATCCATAAACAGGGCGGGGGGGGGGGGGGTTTGGTGGGTGCATGGAATGGACTTTGGCCTTCATTTCTGAGGACGGGCTGCTAGAAAAGTGCTTTGAGGTTTCACAACTCAGAACACGAAACTAGAAGAGGGTTTCGAAGCTTCACAACACAAAAACAACACACTGTAGACTTAAAACAACAGCGAAAAACAGAGTTTCGTTGTGTAAGAGTTTAGAAACTGCGCTCTGTGGTTCGTGGGGACGCATTAAAGCGCCGTGTTGAGTAGTGGGAGCTCCGTTGTGGAGGCATAAACGGTGAAAGTTTCTGCTGTCTTCAATCCGGATTCCCGTTTTCCCTAACCATGACAGTTATTAGCCTCAGCCTTCAGCTTCATCCCACAACCCCGCTCCTGTGCTAGGTAAGTCCACTACGAGCTCACCATAGTCCGTGCTACTTGAAACTTTTGTTTTAAGTGGCTGAATCTAAAACAGCTTCATCCGGCCATTTGGAGTTGGGAATCCAGGTGAGCACCGCCAAGGACCAGATTCATCAATCATTTACACATCCACTTACGGAACATGATCATCTTTTACATTTGTTTACATTTATTAAACAGTTCAAAGGCTTGAAAACTTCACAATCCTAGGTTGTTTATGTTGTAAACAACCTCGCTGTGCTTCGTAACTCATAAAATGTTTAATAAATTGTAAACAAAGCCGCCGTGACTGTTGGAAGCTGTAGAGGTTCGTGCTTTGTTGACACATTTTAATCAACTCATTCCTCGTCGTGTATCAGCAGATTGTAGCTTTAATAGTGATATAAATTGCGCCAGTTATCTGCCTCGAGGCAGATAATTTGCGCAATTTATATCATAATACAATTATCTCTAATAGTGAATTACACTTTGGATTTTCCAGTATATATATCGCCTTTAATAATTGCCAACTAAATTTAATTTAACCTTATGCCAAATTGTTTTTAATTTGATTTAGAGAGCTGTACACCGGTTTAGGCCAGCCATTAGTGTAATGATTTGTATATGGTGTTACGAATAGTTTCTAATTCTAATTAATAAGTGCCATTAACTGTTCAATTAATGTATACAAAACTGCTATGATTGAGGAAAGATGTAGAGGTTTCGTAAATAGGTGATTCAATACTTGATGAAGCCTGGCTCCCGGGAGCTGGAGCCTGCCTCGTCCACCTCTTGTGGTGAACTATGTCAAAGGCTTGGCTTAAGTCAAGTAATGTTATTCCTTACCGTAATCTGTGTTGTCAGGTAAGGTCGCTTTCTGGAGATTGTGCGTGGACGGTGTGTATAGGGCCAGCTACGTCGGTGTATTGGTGTATACATTGGTGTATAGAGCCACATACGTCGGTGTATAGCGTGCACATAGCAACGCGGACAATTGAGAGTAATGAGACAGACGCCTGGCTCCCCAGTGTGTAGCAGGGGGGACCTACGGTGTGGACCAGTCGTTACAGGAGCATTACAGCGGACCGATCTAGCTACCTGCCATGGGCCACTTCGCTATGGGCCACCCCGACCCTGGGCCACTGCGCCTTGGGCCACCCCGCCGCCCATCACCCAGGACGCTGGCTACAAGTAACCTTGATGAGTCTTGCCATGGTTTTTGTGGTGTCCAGACACCAACCGTCGGGGCCCTGCAGGCAGGAAATACCCGACGCCAGCACCTCTTGATATGATCCTCCACGCAATGGACTCTTATTTTCTCTACAGTGAAAGTGGCTAAAGAAATTGGGCGGTGTTCCATAAGTGACAGAGGCAGGGGTGTCTTTGACGATGTTGCGAGGAGACTGCAAGAGCCAGTCTCTTGCAGGGTGCAGGGCTGGCGGACCCACTCGAAGTAGTGACCGTTGAAGCCTTCTTGTCAAAAGCCGGAACTTCACGGCGGCTTTAGTGGTTCTAAGCATCGTCTCGCTGGGCTTACAGCATCAGAAAGGTGGAGAGAGGAAAGAAAGATAACGTGAGTGCATGTGGAGGACATCTGAGGTGTGAGAGCCGCTTGGCGCCCTCAAGTAGAGCGGCAACTATCTGGCCTTTCCCGCGCTGTAATTGGGATGACGGAGGGACGCAGCGATAGCCTCGGCCGCCGTGATGCTGCAGGGAAAGAACCGGCCAAGTGACCCGCTGACCTAGAGGAAGGTCAGGACAAGGTGACGATGCAAGGAGCGTGCATAGTGGCGAGGCAAACTGACTTTTTTGTGTGTGTCGGAGGGAGCCAAGAGAGACAAAGGGATGGAGAGGTGTTCACAAGACTGGCTAGAGCGGTGGACGAGGCGCAACTGCAAGCGTTGTTTGCCCACAGGTGTCTAGGGCAAAGGTCTTTGACAACTGTCTCAGTCTGTCAAGTCCGAGCTCATTATCCAAGCAGCCTTGTCGGCTGCTGTTCAAACCAGCAGATCAGTTACAGTGCATAGCGACACCCAGTCTTTACACAGAGGGGGGAAAGGGGAGAGACGGACACAGACCCCGGGTATAGCCGGAAGCCCCATCTAGTAATATATATATATTTGTGTGTGTGTGTGTGTGTGTGTGTGTGTGTGTGTGTGTGTGTGTGTGGTGTGTGTGTGTGTGTGTGTGTGTGTGTGTGTGTGTGTGTACTTACCTAGTTACCTAGTTGTGCTTGCGGGGGTTGAGCTCTGGCTCTTTGCTCCCGCCTCTCAACGGTCAATCAACTAATGTACAGGTTCCTGAGTCTATTGGGCTCTACCATATCTACACTTGAAGCTGTGTATGGAGTCAGCCTCTACCACATCACTTCCTAATGCATTCCATTTGTCAACCACTAACACTTAAAAAGTTCTTTCTAATATCTCTGTGGCTCATTTGGGCACTCAGTTTCCACCTGTGTCCCCTGGTGCGTGTTCCCCTTGTGTTTGTGTGGGTGTGTGGGTGGGTGTGTGTGTGGGTACGGTGGCGATGGTGTAACACCCTCACGAACACCGCCAGATCTCACCCGACGTGATGGGTGTTGCGTGCCTCAACACCCATCGCCAGGAAGGACTTGCCTGCTTGCAACACCTGGTAACCTTGCACGAAGGAGAGAGAGAGACAAGCACTCGAGGTGTGTAGTCAATAGTTAGCTTTACTACTCCTCCTCCTGGTCTAAGTCTCCCGTGCAGCCTTCAAAATGTATGATTAGTTAGGTTTTGAACTTTGCATCACGTGGATACGTGGACCATCAGCATTAAAAAATATGTATATTAAAAATGTGATGGAACGAGTGAGGACTAAGGTCGTCACCAAGACCTTCTTAATCTAAGGTCAAAGGTGAAGTCTGATCACTTGGAAGAAGGTCGTTTACCGGCATGTAAGCAGGAGTTTAGGGTCAGGTCAGTATAAATGTTTAAATTTATATCAATAATTACACAAACCGTTTATTTTGTATTTTTGGATTAGAGTAAACTGAAGTTAGAATGGGAATTAAAAGTGAATTTAGAGATTATAGTTACATTAACCCCATTAATGTTAATTAACCCCATTCAAGGAAACCGGATTTGTAACATAACATCAAAGTTCAGATAAATCTGTTTAGGGATTATGGTGAGTGGTAGAGACAAGAGTAACACTGTGGGCCAGCCAGAGGCTCAGGGCCCGTGCAGGACTATCCCAATAAAAACAAAAAAGCAGGTGGACTATCAAACAACCAGTCCTCTCGAATAATGCACCGTATATGTGACGTGAAAGTCCCCAACGACGAAATATGGTGTACTATAAATCATAGCAGCTCTCAAAGTTGATGAGCTGTCCCGTTTTCTATTCGTGGGGGTTAGGGTAGACTCGCGGAGTTTAGTACATCAGTATTGTGATATTGTGGCAACTCGGGAGGACGGGCTGTCCAGTCATACACTTAATGATACCAAGAGTTACTCAACCGTAGTGACCCAAGTTCAACACCAGAAAGACCATGGGTTAAAGACGTGGTGCCACAGAGCACATATAGTGAGTGCTGGATGGTGAAGGTGACCTCAAGAGAGGCACTTGAGAAGGAAGACATTGATGTCGGTGCCCGTTTGACCTGCCGCCTCACTAGGTCAGAGGTCAATGTTGTGCCCATGTTTCCGAACCACTCTCACTGTTCCTGCGTCATACTTCCGACACCACTAACACACTCAGGCCCGCCACTCCCGCTAACAGCAGCGACTAGGCGTCGCTAACACCCTCCACTACCACCGCCGGCAGCGCCACCAGGTCAGTACGCCACCGACGGTGCTAACTGGGGCCTGCTTCAGAGGAGCTGACCCGGCACCAGACGCCAGGCAGGGCTTCGTGTGCTGCCTCGCCTATCATCCACCGAACTCGACCTCGGCATTAATTCTCACACAGATGAGCGTAGGGTGTGAGGGCTCAAGCCTGATCTGGCCAGACACGTACGAACTCAAGCAACCCTCCTAACCTATCGTGGCTGATGCATAGAAAACGTTCATGTTACGGTGCTTTAAGTTTTATTAATACAGTACATCGCTTATTTAACGGTCGATTCCGTCAAAATGTGGACGTATTAAGAGAGCGGACGGCTGTAGGGCGTGGGAAAGCAACAAGTAGATTATGGCTACCGGTGAAGTCGTGCGCACGCGCAGCCATTACGTTTCATCACCTCTTAATATATATATTTTTCCTTATTCAATACTTTTTTACTGCGATCGATCACACTTGAGCTCTTAACCAAAAGAGTGTGTAACCATTGTCTGTGTAACCACCACCTGTGGGTTCGTACCCTGGAGACTGTACTCACAGGGGGGGGGGGGAAGTGTCTTCTGTGAGTCCCTCAGAGGAGCCTCAGCCCCCCCCCCCCCCCCCAAGGGAGAAGACTTGTTATAGCGGCATCAGACGCGGGTGGTGGCTGGGGTGACCCTGGGAGGTCCCTCTGTTCCCACACACACCAGCCAGCCACACACACACACACACACACACACACACACACACACACACACACACACACACACATGGTGTGCTTCTTCTCCCTCCGGCTTCATAGACCGGCACCTAGCAGTGTTGGCGGTGCTTCGGGCATCACTGGTGGTGCTTAACGATTCTCTTGTTGCTAGTGGTGGCCAAGAACACCTTGTGAATACTTGAGGCAACATAGTCAACAGCCACCACCACCACCACAACTACCTCCTCCCCATCCCATGACCGCTACTATTGTCTACCACCATCACCACCACCCCACTCTATCCCCCACTTCTCAACATCAACCACCACATTACCGTTGCCAGGAGAGAGGGGGGAGGGGAAATTGTGGTTTACCGGGAGGGGGGATGGGGCTGGGGGGCGGTTGAAGAGGTTTTGTTACGAAATACTTCATCATCGGGTAACCAACAAGGACAGTTCTATTTTCTCGTATTTACGTAAGTCTCCCCAGACTCCTGTTTGTTATCACGTTTTCTCTC